CGCGCCCCCCACCGCACGCGCGCCGGCGCTTCCACCCCGAGCCCGCCTCTGCCGGTTGCTCCCGGAGAAGCGCCCCGGTCGTGCCCGCCCTGGTGGTTTCCTCCTCCTGCTTCCGCCGGGCGTCGCGTTCCCTGCGGGACAGCCAGCCCGCCGCGCAGCTTGGGGTGCGAGCGGGGCCGTTTGGTCGCGGGGCGCGCGGCGGCACTGTAACTGAGCCCGCGTCCGCTTTGTCGCCGTAGTTATCCCCGGAAGAAGAGGAGAAAAGGCGAATCCGCAGGGAGAGGAATAAGATGGCTGCAGCCAAGTGCCGGAACCGCAGGCGGGAGCTGACCGACACGCTGCAGGCGGTGGGTAGAGCCCGGGGCCGTGCCCGGGACCGCCGCGAGGCAGAGCGGGAGGCCGGGCGCAGGGCGGGCCCGCGAGTCTGTGGCTCACGCTCGCTTCCCCTCCGCTGCAGGAGACGGACCAGCTCGAAGATGAGAAGTCCGCGCTGCAGACCGAGATCGCCGGCCTGCTGAAGGAGAAGGAGAAGCTGGAGTTCATCCTGGCCGCGCACCGGCCGGCCTGCAAGATCCCCGACGGCCTGGGCTTCCCGGAGGAGGTGTCCGTGGTGTCCCTGGATCTGAGTGGGGGCCTGCAGGAGGCTGCCACCCCGGAGTCCGAGGAGGCCTTCGCGCTGCCCCTGCTGCGCGAGCCCGAGCCCAAGCCCCCGGCGGCGCCCGGGAAGGGCCTCGGCAGCGCGGAGCTGAAGGCGGAGCCCTTCGACGACTTCATGTTCCCCGCGTCGGCCAGGCCCGGCGGCTCGGAGACGGCGCGCTCCGTGCCCGACGTGGACCTGTCCGGCTCCTTCTACGCGGCGGACTGGGAGCCCCTGCACGGCGGCGCTCTGGGGCTGGGGCCCGTGGCCGCGGAGCTGGAGCCCCTGTGCACCCCGGTGGTCACCTGCACGCCCGGCTGCACGGCCTACACGTCTTCCTTCGTCTTCACCTACCCGGAGGCCGACTCCTTCCCCAGCTGCGCCGCGGCCCACCGCAAGGGCAGCAGCAGCAACGAGCCCTCCTCTGACTCGCTGAGCTCGCCCACGCTGCTGGCCCTGTGAGCCGCGGGGAGGAGGCCGCGGCGCCCCGAGCGCCGCCGCCCACGTCGGTGCATTTCAGGGGAGAGACCTGTCTTCCCGCGAGGGTTCCTGTAGACCCGGGAGGACCGTACCTGTGCGCGAAACACACCAGGCAGTGGGTGGAAGCACCCTTGGGTGGACCGAGCCCTCACCTCTTCCGGAGATGTAGCAAAACGCATGGAGTGTGTGTTGTTCCAGTGACACCTCTGAGAGCTGGTAGTTAGTAGCATGTTGAGCCAGGCCTGGGTCTGTGTCCCTTCCTCTTTCTCCTTAGTCTTCTCATAGCATTAACTAATCTGTTGGGTTCATTATTGGAATTAACTTGGTGCTGGATATTTTCAAATTGTATCTAGTGCAGCTGATTTTAACAATAACTACTGTGTTCCTGGCAATAGTGTGTTCCGATTAGAAATGACCAATATTTAACTAAGAAAAAGATACGACTTTATTTTCAAGTAGATAGAAATAAATAGCTATATCCATGTACTGTAGTTTTCCTTCAACATCAATGTTCATTGTAATGTTACTGATCATGCATTGTTGAGGTGGTCTGAATGTTCTGACATTAACAGTTTTCCATGAAAACGTTTTATTGTGTTTTTAATTTATTTATTAAGATGGATTCTCAGATATTTATATTTTTATTTTATTTTTTTCTACCTTGAGGTCTTTGACATGTGGAAAGTGAATTTGAATGAGAAATTTAAGCATTGTTTGCTTATTGTTCCAAGATATTGTCAATAAAAGCATTTAAGTTGAATGCAGCCAACCTGTGCTCTTCTCATTCTGGGAGTTTTGTAAGGTTCTGAAAGGTGTCACTGAAGACCAGTTTGTCAAGAAGGGCGGCTCCTGGGGGGGAACACACCCTCCTATCTGATCCCTTATCAAAGAGGAAAATGAAACTTGAGAGCTGAATTGGGAAAATTTCTGAAATGCGTGTCTCCTTTGCATTGCTAAAGTTCTCCACGTAGTTCAGGAGGCAGAAACCTGCTGTGCAGTAACAGTTGTGGGGGTGCGTCTTCCTGCTTTTTTGTTTTGGGAGCCAAGGGGAGAATATTCAAGTCTGCTTGTGCCAGTCTTAAATTCAGACTTTTATTCAATTTATTTATTTATTTATTTATTTTTGTGAGACAGGCTCTTACTATGTACTCTTGGCTGGCCTAAGACTCGCTTATGTAGCCCACATTGGCTCCAAACTTGCGGGGTCCTCCTGCCTTAGCCTCCAGAGGCCTCTTAGGCTTGTGCCACCAGACCAGGCTAATTCAGACGTTTTGATCTCAAAGGAATCCTTGCAGTAAACAGATCCGTGCTTTGCACAAAGTATATACCTTTTTTTGCGGGGGGTGCTGGGCATGGAACTCAGGTCCTCACGCAGTGCTAGGGAAGTGCTTTGTCATTAAGCTACACCTCCAGCCCTATTTTAACGTTTTATTCCCAGAAAGTCATGCCAACGGTTATTCCTGCCGCAAAGGTGAACCAGCGAAGAGCGGTTGGGATGAACGGCTTTCTCAGCACCCTGCTGTGGGGTTGTCATCTTTACTTCCACTCGTTATTCTGCACATCTTGCTGAACTACCTCAACACTTGGGTCAAAGAAAGTTTGCTTGTTAAAGAAAACCTCAGTGCTTAACTCTGACATGTATACGTTTAGTTGGCCTGTTTAATTCACAAGAGGAAAGAGGACCACTGTCTTATCCCTTAGTAGAAAGTACATTGTCATTTTTGAAGTTGCTCTAACACCAGATGCCTTCATTCATTTGATAGCAGGGGAGGAAAGAGCTGGCTCTGAGAATCCAAGTGATCTCAGACAGTCCAAGTACTGACTGATCGTTCTGTAAATAAAAAGTTACATTTGGCTGAATAAGAAGTCAACCTGGCTCTGCATAAGCTTTAACTTAGGAACGGTATCATCTTAAAGAAGAGCGTGACCTTTGTCTGGATGACCTTTGGTCGTGGGGACTTCCGGCACTCACATAACCCATGCAAAGGAGACTCTGCCCTTCCACCCCGCTCTCCAGGGTCACATGGGAGCGGAGCTTGGGAGCCAGAGACTGCGCTTGCACAAGCTGGGTGGGAGTCCCAAGGCCGGCCTCCCAGTGCTACGGTGATAATGGGAATCAGTGGGTGGGCATGGGCTGTCACAACTGTTCAAGTTGAAAGTTTGCGTTTAAAATGCCAGTTCCACTGAGCTTGAGGCCCCTACCTGTGTCCTTCCTGCTCCTCCCACAGTAATTGACACTTGGCAGCAAATTACGGCCTTTTAGAGCATGCTGATATCACACACCGCTTAATGCTGCTTTTGCCTGCCTTGCAATATTGAAAGTAGCCTTAGGATCATTGCTGTTCAAGGGGCAAATATCTTACGTCCTTTAGATATGACCTAACTTAAATCCAGAATTGTTGTAACTAACATTTGGATCTGAAATAGCCTGTCAGAAACCCAGCAGACTCCCGTAAAGTACAAGGCAATAACCTGAGGAAGGAGATTTCCCAGGGCCCTCCTGCTGGACATTGTCCTGTTCTGGGGAAGCTCATCGGCAACCCCCGGCATGCTATGCTGACTGCAGAGGGATGCCACACCTTTCCCTTTGACAGCTCCCGCACAGGCCCTTCTTCTAGATCATCACAGCCTGGATGCTCTGTCAACAAGACTGCACTAAGACCGTAAGAATGCTAGGTGTGGCAGTGCATGCCCGTAACCCCAGCTATGAGGAAGGCTGAGGCTGGATGATAACAGGTTTTAGCCAGCCTGTGCGATTTAGCAAGACCCTGTCTCAAAATGAAAAGGGCTGAGGATGTATTTTAGTGGCAGGGTGCTAGTACAGCATGCTGGAGGCCCTGGGTTTGATCTCCAGTATTGGGGGCGTGCTCTGAGGAGAGGGAATCTCTTCTAGAAGTCATAGGGTTCCCCAGGACTAATACCCTGCTAAGCCCCCTGACCACCACTTTCATGGCCTCAAGAGAAGAACCAAATGTGGTGGTGCCTGACTGTAACGCCAGCTCTTGAGAGACTGAACCATGAGTTTAAGACCAGCAGCTTGAAACTGGCTACCTAGTGAGTTTGAGGCCAGCCTGAACTGCATAGTGAGACCTGTCTCGAAAAGAAAGAGAGAGAGAGAGAGAGAATTCCTTTTGAAGTGCTCTTTCCAAGTGCTTTCCTAGCTCAGTGCAGTGACGGCATGGACGACTGACAGTGGAAGACTTCGATTCCCACTCTAAGACATGGTCTCACACTAGTCCCAAAGAAGCAGCTATGTCAGGACGTCACCATTAACACTGATCTGAGACATACATAGAGAATGGAAGGGGCTGGGGGCGGAGGTCACCTCCTTACGGGAATGTCCAGTGTAGCTCACTGGAGGACCACCAGACCTGGCTCAGAGCCTGGGCATGTAGTACTTGGCTAATGAATATTTTGCTCGGTCGGTGAATGAATAAATTCTACCCTATTTCCCACAAAAAGACATACATGCCATTCGTATTCCGTAACTTCTATTGCAGGCCCCGTTAGGACGTTAAGCAATGGGAATGTCACATGTTTTGTGTCTGGCTGCAGACACACCCTTTCCCCTCACTCCCTTCTATCCCTGGTTCCTGGAATTCCTGCACTTCCTCCTCAGCTAACCTCTGCCAGTTCAGCTCCAAAGCAAAGGCACTGCCACTCTGCTCCTGGATCGAAATTAATTTTAGGTGGAAACAAGGTGTAGGAAAACTCTTTTTTTCTGTAGAACAGTAGCTTATAGATTCTGTATCATCTTTGCATGTAACTTCCTCTTGTGCAATTATCTAAATTATAGGGTAGCATTTGGGGCTGGGGATTTAGCTCAGCGGCACAGTGCCTGCCTGGCAAGCGCAAGGTCCTGAGTTCGATTCCCGGTACTGGAAAAAAAAAAACAAACCCCAAAAGGTAGCATTTAACAATTTGTTCTAATAACAGTGATTCTGCAGCAACAGCAATTCCCACGTGTGAGTGAGAGTAAATCAATTACCCTGTCTTTAATTAATGGACGAAAAAGAGACCGAGGCTTAGTAAAATTTCTCAGATGATGAAGGACATTATCTGGAGTTTCAGTGCTTGTCAAGTAAAACATAAAAAGCAAAAGCAACCTTTAAACTACACGTGAGGCTCTTCCCAAACACAGGCTAACAAATTCTTTAAAAAGTACTGGAGATCGGAGCTTCCTCCCTCTGCACACTGCAGGCAGAGGTGCCGTTAACATTAGCTGAATTTTTTTTTTTTTTTTTGTCTTTTGGAGACAGGGTCCCGCTGTGCAGTTCAGGCTGGCCTTGCGCTCACTTTGTAACCCAGGCTGGCCTCAAACTCGCAACGATCCTCCTGCCTCAGCCTCCCGAGTGCTGAGATTTTGTGCACCACCACTCCCGTCTCATTAGTTGACTCTTGATTCCTCTTCAACTCCATCTAAATCTTTCTTCCCAACCAGCATCCTGCTTGGAGGATTTCCTCCCTTTCCTGACACACAGCACTTGTTCCTGCAGCAGGGCATTTGCACCTGCTGTCCCTCTGCCTGGGGCCTTCACCCAGGTTGGTTCTTTCCTGACATTCAGGACTCAGCTCAAAGGACGTCTCTTCCCAGGTTGTTCTTTCTACAGTAACTTCTATACACTCTCTCTCCCCTGTCTCATCCTGCTTTATTTTTCACAGCAAGCGTCGCTCTCTGTAACACCCAAGCTATATTTTCCTTTTCTTTATAAAATTTTCTGCTCTTCCTCACTGAACTGTAAGTTTTATGAGAGCAGCAACCTTTTCTGTCTTGATCAGTTTAGTCGTAACACAGTTCACCTTGTGGTCCCACTCTCCTTCTTACGGACTAAACTAAGCTGCTTTTCCCTTGTCTGAGAAGACTGTTCTATTGCTCAAGAGGACAAGGACCAGAAAGAGGTTTAGTTATTGTTCAAAAGGGCTCCCTAACCTTACGGCACCAGCGCTACTTAATTAATGTGCCCTTCTAGCTTTCCGCTCATGGTGCCTTGGTCTGGCTCTGCTGGGTGACTAGGAGGCCTGACCGCTCACAGGGCTTAACTGCAGTTTACATTAGAAGCCGCTTCTGGGGATGTAGTTCAGTGGTGGAGCGCTTGCCTGGCATGTTGGAGGCCCTGGGTTCCACCCCGAACCATAAACAAGCAAACATTTAAAGTAGGCCCATGTGAAAGGCCCTGTTACAAGGGTCTGGAATAAAGGCAATACTTTCACCCTAAAAGTAAATGTCCCAGGCTCTAGCTGCTGCCTTGTTTATTTTATATCTTTATTTTTTTTAGGTGTCTTGTTTATTTTGGGGAACAAGTTATGGTCCGATCTATTGGGACAATGTGTATTTTTCAAGTTTTTTGGTCAGTCATGAGACTATCATCACAGACAAATTTACCAAACAGTATGATAAATTAGTGTGGATTGAGGAATTAGCTAAAATATAGCAGAATGGTTCAGATCATGTATTAGTTTTAAGTTCCGGCTCCTTGGTCTTGGGCAAATTAACTATATTTTACCTTACTTTCTCCACCTGTAACCTGGAGATGATAAGTGTGCCCACTTTTCCGGACTGCTGTGAGCACTAAGTCAGTGGGTGTGCACGCAGCGTTGGCTCTGTTTGTGGGCCTGCAGGTGTATGACACGAGGTTGGCTAGTATTATCTTTATAATTTGGGAAATGGCAGTCGGGGGGCAAGTGTGGACTTCATTTCATGCAAAATTTGTGGGTGTCTACCGTGTGTCATATGTTGGGTTAGATGTGAGGAAGACAGTCTTAT